CCCCGGGGCTTTGTGTGGGGCCGGGGGGGGGGGGGGGTTGCAGGAGAAACCAAGCCAGCCCCAGGATCAGGCTAGTATTTTTTTTAACCAGCATTTTTTTGGTTTGGGTCTATTGGACTCGAAAAACTTCAGATTTCTGAGAAATCCTGGTTCCGAATACTATACCGGTATTTGGAGCTGCTATTTTTCAGGAATCCTGAAGTTTTTTCAAGACCAATAGACCTGAATGGGAAAATACCGGTAAAAAAAATTGCACATTCTTAATCCTTTCTATAACCATGAGAGGTAGGTTAGATTGAGAGATAATGAACTTCGGTGAACTTCATGGCTGAGCAGGGATATAATCTCAGTCCTTTTCCACACCCTTGGCTTACTCCTGGTTTTCTTGGCAGTTGATCCACAAGCATTGGAATCGGTTTAGGCACAAGTTCTTCTGCATGTTTCCACTCCCTGTGTTTTTTCACAGGTTGGAGTCAGTTTATTTTCTTCTGCAGATGCCTTAAATATTGAGGATTTTCAAGGGAGGGTACTGTCATCATTGATGCCACCATTGGTGGCATCAAAGCACACCTCCCCCTTATATTTTTTAAAAATGGCCTTAAGATATTGATGTAGTGTTGTGATGATAGTTTTAGGAGGTGGGAGTGGGAGGGACAACAGTAACCAATGCGGGGGGGGGGCAGAACCAATGGCAAAAACTCCATGCAGAAAAGCCACCCCTCACACTCACAGCACTCTATTTGTATCTCAACTAGAAGAAGGTTCCATATTTATATAGGAGTTCAGAAACTCCTTACCTGCTGTTTTTAGCCTGCTGTTGTTTAGAACCTGGACAATTACTCTACCTTAGTTTTAACATTGAATGTGTGACTCTTAATTTGAGTGTTTGATAATTTGTAGGTCTGAATAGAAGCATCCAGAGCCACAGCTGTTTGTGAAGCGTTGGCAAAGACATTCTCCCAAGTAGTATATACGTTGTGAATATTGAACAGAATTATTTTGGCCTAAATAATCCATATTCTTTGCTTGTTTTGTTCAGTCTGCTGCATACTTTTTTAGCACAAGATATAATATCTTCCTGAGATTTTTACACAAAAACATTCAACTGCTTTCTTGAAAGTGTAGTGTAATTCTTATAGGAACCAAGGAAAGCACAAGATTAGAATTCTTGGAACAAGAGTAGTTTAGGGATTCCCTTTCTCTTTTTCCTTTTCGTTTGTTTAAGGAAAAGGAGCCTCAGAAGAGTAGCAGGTGGAGGGGCTGCTGGACCATTTTAATCGCTGCCACTGGTATACAAATAAATCAGCCCCAGGTGCTGTACACCTCCGTAAGGGAAAAAATGCAGGAGGTGGGGCAGTTTTTAGTAGAGCAATGTTGGTGGAAGGGGGAAAGGATTAAGCATGTCTTGTACTCCTGATCATAAAATTCAAAAGCTGCTTCTGGGTTATTGTTTTTTACTAGAAAAAGTGAAATGAACTTGGCAAAGCTTAAACATTAAACAAAACCTGTGAGAGCTTGACACTATTCCTCATGGGTTTTTGAAGCTTTGTTGGTCCTTGGAGGTGTAAAGTGCTTTTGATGTTTAATGATAAGCTCCAATATAGAATTACCAAAGGAAGACTGTATAAACTATACTCTCTGATGAAGGAACAAAATGCCTGAGACTACGTGGGATCTGCGTTCAGTTCAAAGAGTTTAAGGATTGCCACACCAATGCAGACCTATTGTGGAGTTCTAAGCTCTGCCAAGTTCTTTTTGGCACATAGTGGATGTTTCACAGCTATTGAAAATATAGGTTGGGTTCAAGGTCTACATCTTTATTAACATCATTGTTTAAAGGACCTTGTCATTTTCACTTTGATGATTTTGTAAATATACACCTCGGATTTGTAATCCATGAGTTTTCTATCTTGTGATTGGTTTATGTAATTGTATATTCTTTTGTTGTGTATATATGAAATAACAAAAAATGAATATTAGAGTACTTATGAATGTTTAATAATATAAAAAATACAAAATTATTTTGATAAAAACACTTAAACTTGGTATTTAAATATTAATTGTTAATCATTTAGCTTGGATGATTAGATTATTCTCATGACTGTATTCCTTTTTAATTAATGTATAGAAAAAAAGTGAAAAGCAACATGGAATTCCATATTCACATCTGTTCTGGTCTCTGTAAAGGGTTAGTTCTAATGTGCTATTGTACTTCATGGGTGAACTTTTGAAATGCATCCCATGTCATTCCAAAAGCTTTCTGATTTAGTCTTATCACTTTCTGATTTATCAATGTAATAGCTTTTTGCATTCTTGATGTAAGCTTTGTCAGAGATGGTAAACATTGTACACAGCACATTCATTTTCCTTGGCATTGTGCTCCTTCTAATGTAGCTTGGATTTGAGAATTCAAAATTCAGCTTTTCTACTTGGAACAAAATATACTCAGGGCTACACCACTAAATAATACAGCATTTTCAGCATGTAGGGTATTTTCATTCCTGAAGTTACAAAACTGCCTCCGAAGCTGTGTTCTTTCAGCTTTATAGATGGCCAACTCAGGTTGAAATGCTTCATCTTGTCCAGGCTAAGTTCAGAAAATCTAAAGCTGAGCTGAGACTCTTAGATAAATCCCTGGTTCGTTATTCACTATACTGCTGCCAGTTCTCAAGTAAGAGAACATTTTAATTCCACAGAAGACACATGCACCAAAGTGTTGCCGAATTCTCCATGGAAGTTCACACATTATAGGAATTCAATTAGCATGAACGTCTCTTTATATTAAAATAAGATTAACTTATATCTAAATACAACTAGGAAGGTGTGCATATTTCTGAGTCTCTGAAATGAAAGAAATGTAAAGATAAATGGTCCTGCCATCATCACAAAACTGAACCATAGTTCATAATGAAGAAGAGAAAGAACATGACAGTCTGTCTTTTTATTACATTCAATGTTAATTGAGGAAAAGCTATTTTGATATTTAAATTTCTTGTTAAATTATTTTAAAGATAAAAGTAAATTCAGTTACTTTTGTGTTTCATGTAGTTACTCTATTTTCTTTAAGATGATCTATACAATAGTGCATGTATGTCCAACAGGTAGATCGCAATCTACCAGTAGATCGCAGAGGGGTCAGAGGTAGATCACCACCCCCACTTGGTCTCCTGGTATAAAATAAAATAAAAAATGTTCGCAGTTCTTTCTGGATCTTCGTCTCTCTGTTTTGTTTTTGCTTATTTTGCTTACCAGGGCAAATGACAGAAGGTGCATTATAAATGGGGAGGGGCGTGGGACCCAACTTTAGTGGGTTAAAATCTAATTTGAAACTAATTTGAAAATTTATTTTCATGGTGGTAGATCACCGGCACTTTTGGCCAGAAAAAATAGATCACTACCTGTTCGAAGTTGGAACATGCCCGCAATAGTGTATTCTGATTTTTTAATGTATGTTTGCTGGGAAATTTTAAATGAAACAGTAGAAATGTGTTATGAGATTTTGTTTCCCAAGTTCCTGCCCCCCAACATGTACAAAATCTAATTGCAGTATAAGTTGATACAAAGTCCTAAAGCAAAAGGCAATTGGGGAGGAATTAAAGAATGAAAGTCCCATTTGTGCCATGAGACCCAGAAATATTTGGCTTCCTAATGAGTGTCTTTCTCCAGTACAAATGCTTCCACTGTTAAATAGTCTAATTTGGGTTTAAAGATATACAAAATCTTTTGCTGCAAAGTCGTTAACCAGAAGAATGCTTGTCTAATTAGTTACTGCTGCTGGAGTATTACTGTAAATCTTATTAATGTTTTTGCTACTGTAAAAAGAAGAAAGTAATTAAGTTTTATTACAGTTGTTCTAGAAAAGCAGCATTAAGAAAGAAACTGTGTCTCACAAGAATTGTGATGTTAGAACTGTATTACATCTGTTCTCTTAAAGTCATGCATATGACTCTTCTACTGCTGCTAACTGGGAAGTGTCTAGAAAATCTCACTGTAGACTAATGAAACAATAATCTTTTCTGTTATGCTTTAGCTGCATTTATGTGCATATTTAATATGAGGTTTTTTTCATTTTCAGGAACGTGTTTTTAAAAAGAAAACTTGTCATGAAGAAGTCTACACATTAACACATTTTCAGATGACATCACCGAAGAGAATGAGGTTGTGATTTTGTTGCCTGAGAACTTTTGCCACCACTGTTGGGTAAATGAGAAGTGGCCGTGTGATTATGCTGACATCCCAGCATGCATTTGGTAGACCTGTGGTTAACTCGTTCCCTCTCCATGTGTCTGCTCCTACAAAGCTTTGTCCTCATGATACTGTGCTTTCATTCTGCCAGTATGTGTCCCAAAGGTTGCCTTTGTTCCCATTCTGGAGGTTTAAATGTCAGTTGCAGCAATGCAAATCTCAAGGAAATACCCAGAGATCTTCCTCCCGAAACCGTCTTACTTTATTTAGACTCCAATCAGATAACATCCATCCCAAATGAAATTTTCAAGGACCTGCACCAACTGAAAGTCCTAAACTTATCCAAAAACATCATCGAATTTATAGATGAACACTCGTTCAAAGGAGTGGCAGAAACCTTGCAGATGCTGGACTTGTCAGACAACCGGATCAAAAGTGTGCACAAGAGCGCTTTCAATAACTTAAAAGCTCAACCCAGAATCGCAAACAATCCTTGGCACTGTGACTGCACTTTGCAGCAGGTCCTGAGAAGCATGGCCTCCAACCATGAAACAGCCAACAGCGTCATCTGTAAGACTTCAGAGTTAGACGAACATGCTGGGAGATCATTCCTTAATGTTGCTGATGCTGACCTCTGTAACCTTCCTAAAAAGACTACTGATTATGCCATGCTGGTCACCATGTTTGGCTGGTTCACCATGGTGATATCCTACGTCGTTTATTACGTGCGGCAAAATCAAGAAGATGCACGCAGGCACCTTGAGTACTTGAAATCCCTGCCAAGCAGGCAAAAGAAACCCGAGGAAGCAGATGATATTAGCACTGTGGTATAGGGCCAGTAATTCAGTGACTGGCTTTGACGGGGAATTTAAATGAGGGTAGCACGAATGCCAGATGTTTACTTCTAACATTCGTTGTAAACATATAAGACTTTTTTCCCAATTCAACTGAATTACACTGCTGTCAAAACTTTCTAACAAAAGATTTATGTTGAGGGGGTGATTACAGTACACTTTTATTGTTTCTTTGGTGGTATTCTAAACCAAGTAAACTAATATGTAAGCATTAGTTTAGACCCATTCCACTCTTTAATAATGAAATTTATTTTTTTAGTTTAAAAAAAAAAACCAAATAAAAGCTAAACTATGAACCATGGAAATACAGACTAATTTATTGAACAGAAGTCTTCCTGGTGAGTTAAACCTGTTTGCCTGCATGTGTATGAGAGAGACAGAGCATCAGAGTCAGGTAGTTCAGAAATTTGAGGTTGGATCCAGCCTGCGTTTTCACTCAATCTTACCCAATTCCCCTCTAGTACTACAGCCCCCGTCCCGCATGGCTTTTATACATGGAGGTCCTATGACTCTCTGCTGAGACTTTTTTGCTGGTCAAAGGGAACCCATCTGTCCTTTTTGAGAAGCAGAAAAACTAGCTGGATTCGACTCATGGCTCAGAACAAAGTGATTTGGGGTGCAGTCACACACGCCAAATAAAAGGGGGGGGGAGCGAGGCTATTTTCTCCGGAGGAAATATACCCGCAGATGCACCATCACACCTCCCTTTGATGCTGCAGGTGCGGCCCGTCAGTGTGTGAACAGACACAACTGCGGGTGAGTTGGGGGGGGTTGTGCCGTTTGGTTCCCATGCACTTAAATGAGGAATCGGTTGACTGAACCTCTGCACTGAGGGCTCCCTATGGAGTTTGCGATGATGTGCGTAATGCAAAGGGTGGGGGGGAAATAATGACATGGAGTTGGAGTGGCCTGATCAGACCATCCCGATGGCATGAGAGTGCTCTGGAGCGATCAGACAGGGGAAAGTCCATCTGTGGCCTGTTGCAACCAGTGTTCCCTCTAAGCTGAGTTAGTGTGAGCTAGCTCACAGTCTTTTAGCCTCAAGCTCATGCAATTTTGTCTTCGCTCAGGAAGGATGGTTCCTGAACAAACTAATTGATGCAGTAGCCAAATCGCTCACTCACAACTTTAATGCCTATCGCTCACAAAGTAGAACTTTTGCTCACAAGACTCCACAACTTAGAGGGAACATTGGTTGCAACCCGTCTACTACTGGATTTTCCCCAGGGTCTTTAACTCCGCTTCTGCGGCAGAGCAGAATGGGTTGCCGACGGCTGCAGGGTGCTTCCTAGATTATGTTGTCTGATCGCGCCCTTTAAATCCGCCCGGCATTCACACCTATGTTGGGTTTAATTATGCATATGATCGCAGCCTAATACAGAAGTTATTCATTCTGCAAAATGCTAACATTCTAAGCTTATATGTTTCCAGAAAAACAAGTTTTCAGCTCTCATGACTGTGAAGAAAATTTGAAAGCATGCTGTAAGGGGCTTCCAGTAATAAGTATTCTGCTGCAGTTATTTAAAAAGCCTCCCCATCCCTCTTCCTGGTTCCCAGAGAGCCCACCTGCTGAAGATATAATGAAACTGGAGAACGTACTGTTGTGCTGGTCCATGTAAGCATAGGGAATCAGAGCCATGGTTGATGTTTCTCACTCTGGTATGGATAGCATATACAAATTGCATAAACTCTTCATCAATTCTGAAAGAAATTATTGATGTATTATTCAGAGCATACCCCTTCAGAGTACTCAAAAATGGTGTCCCAGCCCTTTTTTGGCAGTTACTTCGATGTATTTTAAGGAGCCCATATCAAATCATGTGTGAATGGTGCTCTTCAGCTAAAGTCATTCTTATGAATTTTGGATGCAGGTACCCCACAATAGAATATAAAGTGTCATGTATGAATTGGCCCATGCTTGAAATGTTGTTATATCTGCATTAATGAAAGCTTTTCCTGTACTAGCTTCTTTTAAAAGTTCAAGCATGTATGGCACTCTAAAAGCCCCTAAATTCCACTAAATTTGGGAGGGGATGTTTTTATGCCCTGCTCAAGGTCTGTCTTGTTTCTAAACCCCATTTATGTCAGATATCTTCTTTCACCACATTCTGGCTTTCAAAATCCATAGCCATATTTTAAATGAGGCTAACATATCTATTACATAAAGCTGGGCCTAAATACATCTGAGTGTAGAATTTTGGGGCACCTTGGTATAAACCTTTTGTTGAGAATCATAGTACATACAGCTGTATTTACATCTGTGAGATGCGTAGGTAGTGGTAGAAAACCACCTCATAGGATATAAAATCAGTAAATAGTTTGACAACAGAATTGACAATCTGTTCACACTTTAAAATCTGTAGTTATCTGTGTTTGCCCATAGCCAAAGCCTAAAATAAAAGCCATGTGATACCCTTTCTTAAGGCTAACCAACATAATACAAAATGGTGTGCTAGTTTTCAGGTTCTCCACAACTCTTCATCTTTTTGCTTCTCAATATCCAGCCTGCTTAAGAGTTTTGGAAAACTCAGAAGTTTGCATATTAAGTTGTATCATTTTGGTTCATTTTAATTGATTTTATTGCTGGCTCTGGTTGGACTTTAAAATCTGTTTTTATTAGTCATAATGTTTTTCAAGAATCATTTTTAGATCCATAAAAAGATGCAAATGCAATAGCAAGCTGCCAGCTAACAGTAGGCCTCATCAGGCTTCTCAGATATCTTCCAGAAATCAAGGTTAAAAAATTGTTTTCCACCTGGGCTCCTAAACTATTAAACCGGCTGCGTATGTAGAAGGGCACGTTCTTTCAACCCCACCTTCTGCCCAGTCAAGAGATATCTAGAATATAAGTAGGGCAGAGAAACAGGAAGGATTAGTTGCTGTAGATTTTCCGGGCTATATGGCTGTGGTCTTGGCATTGTAGTACCTTGACGTTTTGCCAGCAGCTGTGACTGGCATCCTCAGAGGTATAACACTGAAAGATGGAGTGCTCTCTGTGTCAATGTGAGAAGAAAAATGGTAGGCAGGTAATTATATCTACTCAGGAAAGTGGGGTAGGGCTGAGTCATTATCTTGGAAACTTCTCACATTGACACAGAGAGTACTCCATCTTTCTGTGTTATACCTCTGAGGATGCCAGTCACAGTTGCTGGCGAAACATCAGGTATTACAATGCCAAGACCACGGTCATATAGCCCGGAAAATCTACAACAACTAATGAACTCCAGCCATGAAAGCGTTTGACAACAGGGAGGCGCTGTTACCTACCCGAGCAAAGGCCTCTGTTCAGAAGGCTGTAGATTCAATGGCTACTGTGCCATGCCATTGGTTTTGTGATATACTAAGATTGTTGTAACGGTTACTTCTCTAAAAGATACCTTCTTTTGGCTTTTTCAGAACTCTCATAGGTCTTTCCAGTCTCAATTTCAATTGTTACAGTATTGAGTTTCAAATTTTTTATAGCAGCTGCAGCAATGAACTGGGCCATTGTTGACTGTTCCAGTGCCCTGATTCATTAAGGCTGTTGTGCATGTGGAAGCTGACTTTTATTTGCTCATTTCTGGTGGAATTGAGGTACAATGGTGTGAAGTGTACATGCACTTTTTCGTGCAGTCTCTGAAACTATCCTCCCAGACTGCATGCTCAGTCAGATAACTAGTCTGTCGGTTCTGATGATTCCAGACTCATCCTCCTAATTTGAAAGGTGGGTTACTGAATACAGCTTCCCCTTTAAAGCTGAACATTTGGGCATCTAGTAAGCTGAGAAACATAACACTGTAATCCTGTGTACATTTATATATAGATCAAGTCACAGTCAATGACCTAGAAGTTACATCCTCTTCAGTTTCATGACCCCAGGCACTCAGCTATAGTGTACATGATCAATAAATGTTAAGAATTATTATGGCCCCAACACACACAACTGTTGTCCTGATGACCAAATCCAAAGAGGTTTTTTAAGAAGAGCTTTGGGAACTGATGTTTCATTGCTCAGTAACAAAACTTAAACACGGGTCATGTTGGGTTCTTAAATCAACATTTAAGCACTTTAATAACAGCATTCTGAAGTTTCTTATGTGCAGTTATTTTGAAATATACCACAAGTGTGAAAATTTGGGACACTGTACGGTATGCAACTCTACAAGTTGGTGACCTTGATTTCCAGACAAGATGTTTATGAAATATTTTATCCATGTACTATTGACACAGTTGATGCTAATGAATTTTACGATCAATACTAATATGATGCCAGCCTTGGAAACATTGCTCTTCATGAATGTTAACTAAGCATTTTAAGGAGTGCTAGGTTTAAAGAATGTTTCTGTTTCAGATTGAATTAGCATTCCAAGATGTGACAGACATTAAAGTGCCTTCAAATCCATACCATTTGTTTATTTATCATATGTTTATCCTGCTTTTCAGGCCAAAGTTGTCTCCCAAAGCAGGAAGGGCCCAAGTAGGCCAGGCCCACCATTTACAGGGCCGGACAGGGGAGGAAGAGGCTGGCCAGTCGCTGGGTCAGGGTGGGGTGGGGCCGGGCCGGGCAAGTGGCAGGAAGGTAGGTGCCTCCCCTCCCTCCCCAGGCCAATGGCCAGGCAGCAGGGTGGTCGCCAAACTTGTTTCCCAAAGTGGTTTTCTGCTACACAATACCACTGGCGTTGTGATGTAAGTTTCACCTTTATTGGACAGAGGAGGCTTACTGGCTATAGGTCATTTTCCTTTCTCCTAGGTGCTAACCATAAGCAACCAGACCAGACAGTTTGCTATATGGTGCATTCTGTGTCTGTTGGCCCTAAATGTGATGAAAGTGCAATATCAACAGCAACTTTCGTCTGTTTCCTACAACCAGATATCATTGGAGATAAAAGACCCTTCCTGGGATGTGGTTGCAATGTCCACATTTTAAAAATAAGAGCATTACTGTGCTCTGTGGCATTTGGAAATCTCTATGTCCTAAAAGAAGCGAATATCTGCTGCATTATAGGGTACTCTGATAGTTTCAAAATAATCAACAAATTAAAATCAGGGAATCCCCCGCTTTTAAACAACTGACTGCTAGTATAAATACCTGGGCCTGTCTCCTCACTACTCCATAATGGAAGAAACTTTTTACATGCTTGTTGATTTTGCTGAAATACATAATAAAGGGTGTGTGTGCATGGCAACCAGCTGTGATATGGTGGGTACATTTGGAAAAAGGAAAGCCAGG